CTTTTTTCTTCATGAAAAAAAAAATTTATTTAACTCTGAGGTTGTTTAAGGTACATGAAGAAACTGAAATAAAAGATGTGTAAGACAACAACATAGGTTTTAAAACTGTAAAACAACACAGTATTCAGTTTTTTTAGTTGAAAACAACACAAGATTCTAAGATTAGGTGGAAATAGAAACATAAAGAAGAAGAGTGGAAGATTAGTGATTCTGTTATTGTAGGTTTAATTCCTGCCAGAAAGTGTCCATTTGATTATTACAACTGGAATTTATAACAAAATATGAAAACCAACAGCAGTTTAGTTTCTAAGAAAAACAAAACTTGACTACAAATGCAAAATAATAGGCAACTTGTCTTGTAATCTCCAAATTTTGGATGCCTCAAGTAATTTACAATTACAAACGATTTTAGAAAAAAGAAATAAAATGCTAATGTTATTAGTTACTATTATTGTAGTACTGATTTATCTACATGTACATAAATGATTTGGGAATGTATATTTTTGGAAAAATTTCTACTAAAAAGTATACAGTATTCAAATATCCATAGTATATTACTATATGAATACTGCTGTACATAAGTGAGTCTGATGACAGTTGTTGTGTTTCCCAGTGTGCACCTGTTATAGTCATGTATGTTAATTTGTTTGTGTTTGTTGTATAAAGCAGCATAATGGGTAATCTGCACTTTGTGCACAGCAGGGATTAGACCTGAATTTTAGCATTATAAACCTTAACTTTTATCTCTTAGCTACAAGGGGATAATTCTATTAATAACAAAATATTTCAGAAAACATGGTCATACAGGTATTCTATTTAAATCACTTGACTGTGGTTTAATAGAATTTCATAAAAGTTTAAGTTTTCTGTTTTTAGAAAGAAAAAAAAATGTATATATACAGAATTTTAGAAACAAATGAAACATTTGTGTTATTCCAGTTGGCAGCCTCTTCTAAAGGTATCTAAGCAATTTATCCAGTCAATGCTGTTTATAAGTTTGTTTATGTCTATTTACTCAGTTAGCCTAAAACAAAACCTATCAGTTTCTTGCAAGAGTTTTCCCTCAAATTGTGAGTGAATAATACCTCCTTTGGATTAGTACATGGCAGAAATGTATAGCTTCTATATCTTTAAAATATAGTTATGTGTGACATTTCACTAACTGTTCATCATGAAAATCATCTATTGGAAGTTTACACGTTACTAAAACGTTTTGATAAAAACGATCCTGATTGGCGTAGCGTGGCTATAGCCTTCCCTTGTGACTGTGAATCAGAGTTCTGGCACGAAATCTGGCTTGCACTCATGTAACATTTTTCGTTTCTAAACAGCGAACAAGTATTCTCTTTTGCTTACGAGAGTCGCATGACTACAAAATTATTATCTGCAGAGATTCAATGATGCTTAATACATTTGCTTAGAAGCTACACATGACTGGCAAGATAGTTATCCTCGGCTGCTGCAGGAAAAAACACCAACAAAAAAGATTTATAGCATGCATTGTTTTTTGCTAGTAAAAATTTCAAGAAATGTAGTTAGTTTCACTGGGGATGAACTGCCATTTTGGTTGTCGAACATACATCTTGTGAGTCACACATAAAAAGGAAACTATTTTTCTATAGTAGTGGTTTAAAGTTATTCATGAATTATTGCTAACCGTTCTACGAAAGTGTAGATGAAAATATCATAGTTCTTCTGTACCGATTATATATTACTATTCGTGTAAAGAAGTGGTACAATTGAGACAGAATTTAATGTGTGCATATTCAACAATATTTTTATAATTCAATAAATGGGACTATGGTTAAAACGGTTTAGACAGGAAGGAAACAACAGGAAGCGATGGAACAACTTGCTGTTCCTTACTTCCGGAATTACCGGAACTTCAAGGTAAGATCTTGTGTGATTGCTTTTTACGAAGAAAATTTAATAATCTAATTCAAGTTGTCTGCTTATCAAAACAATATGGACTAGTATAGGTAGATATAATACTTTACCTGAAATGAAAGTTTAATCTTTTCAGTATTGAGTTGTAGATTTTAAACCTATTTGTCCAATAAATAGTAATATCACAGAAGGGGTCGATAATAATTACTGAAAAATATAGAAAATTACAAAGCACAGTAACTTGAGGTTAGGCCAACTAGTTCACATGACGTAGTTTTAATGACGTTTGTTTGTTTGTAGCTAGCACAAAGTTACACAATGGGTTTCTAGCGTTGTAAGTCTGCAGACACCCCGCTGTGCCACTGGGGGGCTTTTTAATGACGTTGAACCAACAGTGAATGAAATATAGACAACAGTAATCTGGTGTAGAAGGGGAAAAATGTACCTGCTGTGAAAAAAAAATTAACTTATTTCATGAATAAAATACTTGAGAGAATCACAACACAAAAATCTATTGAAACAGAAAATAGCTAGAAATAGGGTGGAAGAGTGGCACAATGTTACGACCACACGTATGTCTATTTTCACGTACATACGGTTTATATTTTCTGGACATCGTGCAAAAGTTAGGGCGACATCTAGTGCTTTTTTGTTGTCGTGTTTCATACTTTTTGTTTGTTATTAAGCCAAATTTTTAGCCTCATTATCCTTCAGACTTACCGCCCAGCCGTCTGCGATTGTTTGATACTTATCGGTTCAGAATTAGAAGTCAATTTGATTAGTTTTTTAGAGTTGATACACATAAATTCATAAGAGGAAATTTATTTAACTTGACATATATATAATAACTCTGGTTTATCAATTTATCTTTCATTAAACAAAACATAAGAGAAAAATGAATGCATTTTACAAGAATTATTTTTTTCCATGACAAATGCAGTGTTGTCGCTTTTTATTGCGTGAGATAACGTTCTGTGATATAGCCCTATGACTGTGCTGATTTCATTGTGTGTGTGTATATGTATATGTAAAAGAACTTTAATAAATGATTCCTCAATTAAAAATATGTTTAATAAGGTTACAAAATGCGTAGAAAACCTTTTCTTAATGCGCAGAAAATATACAGTTAATGTCATTTTGTATTTGACTAGGTTCGCGAATGGATGAATGGATGCCCCCAGTGGTACAGCGGTATGTCTACGGACTTGTACCGCCAAAAATTAGGTTTCGATACCCGTTGTGGGCAGATCAGAGATAGCCCTTTGTATAGCTTTGTGCTTAATAACAAACAACAACAAGATGAATGGATACACAATTATTATTTTAGCAGCACATATATAAATAGGAGCGTTAACCTAAAATATTTTCTGCTTTATTTTCCTGTGTTATTTTTTATATTAGAAAAAGCTGATAAATTACCTGGAAATGTAATAACTTTTTGATTTATTCATTTATATATATATATAAATATAAAAGTTCAACCCTCTTCTCACTATGAGTATATAG